TGAGGATATCCGCTACCATGCTGGTAGTGGGACAATACTCAAACTTCACCTGCCCCATAGATACCCTCTCACGCACAAAATGATGAATCACATCGATGTGCTTCGCACGTTCCGAAACAATCGGATTCTTTATCAAACTTAATGCTCCCTGGTTGTCACCCCAGATACGCATCACATCGATCTCACACCCAAACTCGGGCAGAAGTTTCCTCAGCCAGAGCGCTTCGCGAGTAGCTAGGGACGCCGCCATATACTCCGCCTCCACAGTCGATGCTGCTACAGTCGGTTGCAACCGACTCTTCCAGCTGACGGCTCCACCGCCAAGGATAAAGGCATATCCAGTTGTCGAACGGCGGTTGTCTCGATCCACTGCCCAGTCCGCATCGGCATAACCCTCAATTGCCTTGCTGTCCCTGGCAAAACATAAACCGAAACTCGCAGTCCCCTTCAGATATCTCAGGATATCCTTAGCAGCCTCCCAGTGAGCCTTCGCCGGCTCAGACATATACCGCGCCAACTTAAACACAGCATGCGCGATATCAGGACGCGTGCACACTGCCAGATACATCAAACCACCAATCAACTCTCGGTAGCGCGTTGCATCCAACAATACCTGATCGATATCACTAGTACGGTTCAGAACTAGACTTGGCGTCATAGGAACCGACTTAGGAACTGCATCCTCCATCCCGAACTTGGCCAACAATTCGGCCGTATATCGCTGCTGCGAGATTTTGACCTCGCCTAGCTCCTTGCTCCGACTGATCTCCATACCCAAAAAGAACGACACCTCCCCCAAATCACGGAGGTCAAACTCAGCCTTCAACTCTTGCTTTATACGGGCTATTTCCTCGCTTTTGTTGCTCGCGACTAGCAAGTCGTCTACGTGAGCGTATAGCCACACCACAAATGACTGCTCTTCCAGCGTAAAGAAGCTGGGATCCACATCAGAAACCTTGAAACCAATAGCCTCCAGCGTTTCCCGCAACTTCTGGTGCCAAGCTCTGCCTGCCTGACGTAAACCATACAACGCTTTCCGCAACAGACACTTCATACCTGCGCCACCCGTTTCAAAACCAGGCGGTTGGTCACAATAAATCACCTCCTCCAGCGTCCCGTTGAGGAACGCAGTGCGCACATCTAGGTGGTGTACCTCAAATCCTTCAGCCGCAGCCTTCGCCAGGAATGTGCGCAACGTCACCTGATTGCTACCAGGCGCGAAAACCTCGTTGAAGTCAACTCCTTCCTTCTGTTTATAGCCCTTAGCTACCAGCCGGGCTTTGTATCGTTCCACTTGTCCGTCTACACCTCGCTTCACGTCGTACACCCACTTCACCGGAATCGGTTTCACCCCAGGCGGCGGTACCTTCAGCTCCCACGTATCTAATGCGTGGATAGATCCGATTTCTTCAGCCATCGCCTCCTGCCATTTGTCCCGTTCCGGAGAGGCCATCGCTTCCTCGTAGGTGCTCGGGATTTTGACGTCCGATACGTTAACAGCAAGGTTGAGTCGCTGGGGCGGATGACGGTCACGTTGGGGGTAACGATGTTGTGTAGAGGCAGCTGCACCAGCCTTATCCTCCCCCTCAGCTGCCTTACCGACAGCTTTAGGTTTCCCCTTAGTGGTCCCGCTGGTAGTCTTAGGCTTCCCTTTGGCGGAATCGGCTGCACCGCCAGTAGCCGTGGGTTCCTCCTCAGGTGCCTCAGGTGCTGCGCCAACTACCATAGGCTCCCCCTCATTCAACTCAGCTGAATCTCCAATCGCCGCGTTCCCTTGACTATCCTCTACGGCCTCGCTCGGACTAAACTGCTCCCCTTGCCGGGGAGGGGCTGCAGTCTTGCAACTACTGCTAGCCACATCGTCCTCATCATCACTATCGCTTCCGCTGCCGCTGCTTTCGCTATCATTTGCAGGCAGCGTGCGGGACGTTGGCGTCTCCTCAAAAAGCACGCTCCTGCTCACTACGATACGCTTAGACCCGTCCAATAAAATCCGGTATCCTTTGCAGTTGCGTTCGTAGCCCACAAACACACCCTTCTGGCTCGTGGCATCGAGCTTATTGCGGTGCCTCCTCTCGACATGCACCCACGCAGTACACCCAAACACGCGCAAATCAGAGACATCTGGCTTCACACGGTGGAAAACTTCAAAGGGCGTTATCTGCTTGCCCGACACAGGCGAACAATTATGCAGGGCACATGCAGTGGTAATAGCTTCGGCCCATAATTCATGCGGCAATCCTGAGTCTTGCAACATCGCGCGGGTCTTCTCCAGGAGTGTGCGGTTCAGCCTCTCAGCGCGGCCATTTTGCTCAGGAGTGTACGGCACGGACGTGTTATGCTGGACCCCCTTACCCTTAAGGTACTGTCCTAGAGCCTTATTCAAATACTCCCCACCGCGATCCGACTGAACTGCTAGCAGCTTCTTGCCCGATTGGGTCTCTAACAGCTGCAATACTTCCTGGGCCGCTTCCGGAACTTCTCCCTTCGTCCCTACACAGCGCACCACTGCAAAACTCGAATGCTCATCCAGAAATGTGGCGACATACCTTGACCCGCCCATAGACGGAACAGGCATCTCACACACATCCATATGCACTCGCTGCAAAACACGGTTTGCTGCATTCCCAGACGGAGGAAAAGACGCGCGGGTATGCTTG